CTACTCAGAAAGGGATGATTCATGCCTATGGACATGGATGAGAAAATTAAAACTTAAAGCTAAATAAGGAAGGGGCTGGAAAGATGGCTCAAAGCTAAAAGCACTGGCTACTCTTCCAAGGAGCTTGAGTTCAATTCCTAGCACCCATGTCTGTAACTACAGTTCCAGAGGATCCAATACCTTCTTCTGACCTCTGTCGTCACCACATAGGTATGGTGCACAGAGTACACACAGACAAAATATCTATGCACATAAAATAATTTTAACTGAAGAAGAAAACTGAGCCACAACATACAAAAACAGTGCCTTAGCTAGACAAGTTCAGTGACAGCATTAACACACTGTGACACAATGTTTCTTCTAGACAATACAAGTAGAATCATAGGTTAAATAACACCATGTCCTGACCCAAAAACACCCTGAAGAACAGTATTTCCTGTCTGCTAATTTAATTCCATTTAGACCAGTAGCTTTTCAAGAAAATGCCCCACTTGGAAAGTTTCCAGGAGTTTCAATAAAATTCTAATAATTTGAGGTTAGCAAGATGATTCAGTGAGTATGCAAGGCTGAGTTCCATCCCCAGAGGCTGTGATGGAAGGAGAGAAACAACTTCGCAAAATTGTCCTCTGACGTGCATATGCACATTCAGACATGCATGTTCCTGTCTATACATGAACACACACGAGTAACAAGCAGATAAGTTTTTTTTTTAATTTTAGTAGTCTCTGAGCATTCTACAAAATGCATGTGATAAACCTCTAATTTTCAAAACTAAAAGAAAAAGCAAGCACATTGAGCTCCTTGCTTCCTGAAATCTGTGGATTCTGTTTCTGTACATACTTACTAGAGAGAGAGAACCTGTTAACAATGACAGCCACAAAGTCCTCTGAGTCTGTGAGTCAGAATGACCTGCTCAGCAGTTATGGAACTTTTAAATTACAAAAGCTTCAGGCTCTGAGGAAATCACATTGACTGAATCACAAAAGGTGCCACACTGCCTGATGTCTGGGAGATTCCAAAGTAGCTATGACAGCATTTGTCAGAAGTTACACTGTAACAAAGGGGAAAATACAATCAGAAGCCAGTGAAGGAGGTGTGATGCCACTGTGACATGTGAGGTGGCTCAGATGTGCCACTAGCAGAGGTCAGGGGCATGTGGGCAGTAAAGCAGAATGTGATTGGCCTGGTCTGCCTAGAATAGCTGTGGAAATAGGCTGTGGCAAGTCCACCAGTGGGGAAGCAGAGGGAAGCAAGCCTTATCTAACCTTAGCAGAAGCTATGTGATCAGAGGTCAGTAGAAAGAAAGACAATGAATGTCTCTGCTGGTGATAGTCTCTTGGAAGGTGTTAGAGGGACCTGGAGGAAAGGGACATGGTCTCAAGAAACTGATTTGTGTCTCTGTAGCTGTGTGGGGGCAAAGTCTTCCCAGTGATGAAGCTGAGGACCTTCCAAGCAAATGCTGGAGGTGTGACTGTGTCACCTGTATTCAAGTGTGGAAGAGGAATAGGAATGTGTTATCATCAGAAAGGAAAAGTGATAGTGTGAGGCCTTCTCAGTGGCCTAAACCACAGGGAGTACTGACACTCACTGTCAGGAAAGCCTGCTGTGCCCTTGGGTGTGAAGGACAACCTTCTGTTAGCATGTCAAAGGCCCAAAGACCAGAGTACCCAGTAACAGCAGACTGCAGATAGGCTCTCACTCCACTTCCCCACCCATCTGCATTCCATTTGCTCTATCCCAAGATCTTAGCAGCAGCAGCAGTACCACCACCAGGGCAAGGGGGATGATATTGACACTGAGCATGGATGGAGAAACAGGACCCAGTTCTGAACTAGGGCTCTGAGTTGGTTTCTCAAAATCATCTCCAAGGACCAGGCACTGAGCAGGGGTGGGGGTAAGGGGGTAGGTGTGACTTTGTGGCTGTGCCAGAAAAGAGCTATGGCAAACACACAAGGAGTGTCCACCCTATAGGGGTCTGTACTGGCACCCCAGCCACTTTTTCATATTATCATTTTGCCTTCAAAACAGATCTGAGATTGTTCGGAAACTCATTCCTTGATTTCCTCCTCTTCTGGAATCTGAAGCTTCAAGACCAGCCTATTGTTGCTAAAATTCCTTCTTCCCGTCAGGTCCCAAGGACAAACCAGGGCATGATTCCACAAAAGTTCATTCTAGGGTACCAATGAGGTTGCTTTCTTACAGAGCAAATGGGTATGGGTATTCTACCCCAAAAGGTTTGTACCGGAAAGTCTTTACTCAGCAGAGGACTTCCCCATAGTTTCACTGATGGGGCCCTCCTTCCCTAGCCTATAAACTCTAGCCCATCCAAAGGCAGACATTCATATACAGGTGTCAGGGAGTAGCTGGATGTGCAGGCTAGGGTACCATGACCCTCCCCCCAACCATGAGGTCATGTAAACAGTCAACAAGCCCACTGCTAGAGAATAATTAATCCATCTGTACATTGTGTAAATTACACTGTGATTGGTTTAATAAAGAAGCTGATTGGCCAATAGCTGGACAGGATAGGATTGGGTAGGAAAACCAGACTAAGAACTCTGGGAAGAAGAATGGAAGAGTCAGAAGAGTTGACAGTGAGACATGGAGAGGAAACAGGAGGTGCAAGATGAGAGGTAACACCATTTGGCAGAATGTAAATGAATAGAAATGGGTTAAGAGCTAGTTAGTAATAAGCATGAGCTATCGGCAGAGAATTTATGTTAAGTTTCTGTATTACTTGGGAACTGTTGGGCAGGAAAGAAAAGTCTGCCTACAGCCCATGAGATGATCTTCTATAGGCAGGCACAACTGAATGAGCCCAAGATGGTATCTATTTAGCCTCTGTGCATAGGTCTGGGCCAGAAACAGAATTTAGCACATGGATGATGCTTGGTGTCTATTTGCTAATGCCAGGTAACACCACCACCCTGTTGGGAGCCCTGCTCATTCCAGCTTTGTGTGCTGGCCAGATCATACCACAAAGGGTGAGTGCCCCTCTCTCTACCAGACCATTTGGTAAAGGTGTGTGAGGAATCAGAGCACAATGGGAGGACTCCTGGACCCAGACAGACAAGGTATGTACCCAATTTCCCTGCCATTTGGCTACCTCTGAAACTCTATACTAATGAGCCAGCAAACCCATTCTCAGCCACACCCAGCATTGGCACCTAGCAAGCTCCAGGTGCCAAACTCAGGCTTTGGCTTTGAGTGAAAAGTCAAGAATCAAACACAAAAACTCTGACCAGCTGCCATGGTTCTGATTACAGCATCTCCCAAAGTCCTCACAGGTGTATGCTGCCACCACCCGCCTACCTGTCACTAAAAGCAGCACTGAGCTAGAGAGCTGGTGAGCTAGTTTTGGTTACAGAAATTATACTGAAAATCAACTAGAGAGGGGCAGGGACTTTACGCTAGTCACCCAATACAGAATCCTGAACAGAACTACCCCCTCTTCTCTGCTCCTTCCAGGTGACTGGCAGTCCAGAAGTCACCAGAAAAGTAGGCACAAAGTTGGTGACATGAGCCACTGTTGACTCCGTACCTTGGTCCCCCAAGTGTGTGTGCACAGATGTCAGGAATGTGGAGAAGGGACCTGGCCAACCCCTGCATTGCTACAGTGCCATCTGACTTCACACTTGGGGTTCCAGGGAACACAAAAGCAGCCAGGGAGGCTGGGAAATGAATCGAGTTGCTACCACCCCCACGCAGGGAACCAGCCAGTCTCAGGATACCACATCAGCAGTGTTACAAAATCCTCTGGTGACCAAGATTCCGGATGCATCACATCCTTGGCCTTGATGGAGAAAGTAGCTCCGCCCACCAAAGTAAAACTGCTACTTCCCGCCCTAAAGGGACACAGGAACCCTATGCTGTGGCCAAACATCTATGTCTAATCTAGAAACATCAAGAGGTGTGGAAAGAAGCTGACCAATTTTGCTTCCTCCCTCTATAACCAAGGGCAGCAGGCAAGCTTGTTAAACCAAGCAACGAGGAGGAGCTCTGTCCAAAACAGGGAAAGGAGTCCAGGGATTGACTGGTCTTGATTCTCAGAGATAGCACTCACCGGTACTCAGTGGGAGGCAGATCCCCTGAGGAAAATCAGAGGCTTCGCCTGCAACCTGGAGGGAAGGCCAGAGTCAAAGGCAAAACACGGAAAGTAGGAACCAGTGTGCTCCCCCACGATAGCTACGGACGGAGCAGGGAAGAGCAGGAGGAATGACCAGGTGCCCGAGAACATCACTAATTCAGTTTTCATCAAAGAACGCATTAGGTGTACAACAGACTGATGTGCCCAAAAAGAGGAGGCAGGGGTTAGGAGCAACACTTCTGAGTACACCAGAACTTAGAGTTTCACTCCATGAAACTATGTCATTTCCCGGTTTGTTTGTTCCCTTAAAGCACCTTATTTATCATGGAAAAGAAAACACAAAACAAACCAGTACTAATCTGTAAAGCCCAAGGCGAAGATGAACGAACAGTACACGCACTAAAAATAATTCACTACCTATCTTAAAAACGCCTGCACAGGAAGCTATTCCACCCACATGACTTGCGCTAGCCAGGACCCAACAGGGGGTCAATAACCCTGAGTCGCAGAGGCCAGGCGATTCCAGCTCTACTTCCCAGTAGACGTACATCCAGTGGGCCTGTCCAACGCCCTCTGCCTCAGTTTCCTCGTTCATAAAGGGGCCACTAGCAGCGCCGCTCAACTCCCAAAGCTGCTTGGCACACACCAAAGGAGGGTACCCTGAGGGGGACACTAAAGCACCAAAAATGCGGAATCGTGCGGACCAGGGATCTCTTCCAGAATAACCTGGATCTTCGCGAAGACGCACAGAGTGGGCTGAACTGAAGATTTTCCCAATCAGCAAGCCAGGACAGGTAGGGACAGAGGTACAATGAACGCCACAGCCCGAGGTGAAGACCCCGCGTCTGCCCGGAGATCACTCCTCCGCCCGCGGAGCCCCGAAAGCAACCTGTCCCGGCGGCGCCGCCCTCACCTGCAGTGTCCCATAAGGAGATGTTGAAGGAGCGCCACTGCTTCAGGTAGAAGGCGCCACCCACGGTGCTGACCGTGTCCGGGAAGCGACGCTCCATGTAGCGATGAAGCAGAGACGTTTTACCCACGTTCATATCCCCCAGCAGCACGATCTTCCCGTCCGGCTTCCGCATGGTCACAGTTGAAGTGGCTCCTGTGCCCCTCGGTCCCAGAACACCAGGGGCAGCGGACCCCGAGCTCCCTCCCAGGGACCCCGCACTCTTGTGGCTCCGATCTGAGGTCGGGAGCGCTGAAATGTCAAAGAGGAAGCGCGGTAGGACTCTCCAGGCTAGAGTGAACTCAACCCTGCGCCCCACGTGGGATTCCCGGCCACCACGCCCACGCCCCCGGGCTCCGCCCCCAGCCTTCTTTTTCCAAGCCCCTTCCCCAGTTCCCCAACTAGCTCTGCCACGCCCCTGTCCCTCCCCATCCCACCTCTCCTAAACTCTCTGGGTCTGTCACCCTGCTAAACCTCAGCCCTACGCCCACCCCACCCCACTCTTCCCCATTCCTCCTCACTCAGGCTCCCTCCCGCGCCCCTGCAATCCCAAACCCCATTCCCCTTCATTTCCTTCCTCGTCACAGAGCCCTGGCCCCTTGCGTCCCCAGACCCCACTCCTTCCCACCCCTCCTCCTCCAAGCCCATCTCCAGTCCAGCCCCGCACACTCCCCTGTACTCCCTCCCCCCACCCCGACTACGCCACGCCCCTCACGTTCTCCCCGCACCCCCACCCCGCCCGCTCTATCAGGGAAACAGCACAGCTCAACCCCCACACTTAGAAGGCTAGTGTTCTGCCAAGTTTGGAGCCTAGGCCTAGGACCTGGGGCCCAAGGTGAAAGTTCCAGAGAACATTCCTGCCGACACTCGCCTTCCTCATCAGCCAGGGTTGGCGCAGAGCAGCAGCCAAGGAGCTGGTGCCCGTGGCTCAGCGGGCAAAGTGTGTCTGGTCCCAGGCACCCTCTCCTCTCTTTCGCTTCTCCCACCCCCCCCACCTCTGCCCAGCGCTCCTTGGTGCACCTTGGAAAGTTTACCCGGCTGGGAATGTGCTTGGATGAGGGAGGACAAGGAGCGGGGCGAGGACACCGGGAGACGCCTGCTAGGTGGGTTTGTTTTTTGCTTCTGAAAGAAACTTTCAGTGCAGCTATGGAGATCAGTTGCTGTTCAGAACCGAAAAACTTGACTTTGCATTTTCAGTGACTGCTAGCAAAGACTTTTCCCCCTCCTGTAGTGAGAAAAACCCTTGAAATGAGTTCAAAATCCTTCCTTCCGTGGCTCTAGCCTGCAGGGAGGCGGGAGGAGTTATACCTGGGACAGGTAAAACCCAGCGGTCCTGTTCTCTGAAAGGAGAGACGACGACACTGTTGGGAGTTTCTCCCTCTGCACGTGTGAGATTCCACTGAGAAGAGAAGGAAAAGCCTAGAGCACCCTGCCCGCTGCGCTGAGGACCAGCGCTTTTGGGAATGTGGTGGGGCATGGAAGGCTCACCAGCATGTGAAACCCGCTTCCTCTGAGCATCAGGCTGCGTCTAGCCGCCACACCTCTCCCCTGCCCTCCCTGTGGAATTTAAGTACTTATAATTTGTTGAGGGTTTATTGCCTGAAAGTTACAGGGCCAGACTGGGGCAATAACCTGATGGACGATGGACGCAAGCCCAGAGGCCAAGGGATAGAAATGGGCGGGTTCTGTGTAAATACCTAAACCAAGGCCAAAAGTATGGAGATTCCAGGGGTCCCCATCCCTACCTCCCTGCTCCACCACCCCTTCAGCAAGAGAGCATCCTGAGGATCATCTGGTGCCCAGGGTTCTTCTAACTTTATCAGTGGTGAAACATTCTGAATTCCACGGTGTATTTGTTGAGAAGGGTTACTTCCTAGTGGATATGTACTTACAACACAAAATAGCAACAAGAAACATTTTAAAAACAAAAACAAAATAAGCCAGGCATAGTGGCTCATTCTTTTAATTCTGGTACTCAGGAGGCAGAGGCAGGTGGCTCTCTGAGTTCAAGGACAGTCTGATTTACAGAGTGAGTTCCAGGACAGCTAGGGCTACACAGAGAAATCCTGTCTTGAAAATAAAAAAGACAAGGTACATGGAAAAAACAGTTACATGGAAAAAGAGCTGATCACTGTCCTTGTGGGTGTGTATTAAGAGTTGGCCAATCTGTGGTTTTGCTTTTATTTTCTACCAAGAATGTGTATCGCTTATGTTATTTCTATATGTGTAACACCAATAAATAAAAAACCCAGAGACTGATATTGGGGTTCAAGCTTCAAGCTGAAGATCAGAAAAGCAAAGCATCAGGCCTCTAGCTCTCACCTCTAGCTCAGGCAGAAAGGGCTGATACAGGAATGAGCTCTTCACCAATTCTCAAACTGCTGGCTCTCCTCAGTGTGGCTGGAGAATGAAAAACCTCTAAGACCTTGTTTCTGTCATATGTACTTCCCTAATGTTGGGATTAAAGGTGTGAGCTATAATCCTCCTTTAGACTGATTCACTCTGGGTGGCCTTGGACTCAGAAAGATCAGTTTATCTCTTAATCCTGAGTTCTAGGATTAAAGATGAACAATACCTCCTAGTTTCTGGCTACTGGGATTAAAGGTGTGTGCCTGGCTTCTATCCCATGGCTGACTTTGATTTCTGAATCCTCAGGCAAGCTTTAATAAACCATAAACACTATCTCACCACAATATGTGAAACATAGACCGAAGACAAATAATTGCTGTATTGGGGAGGGGAGGAAGGAAGCAAGAGAGACATTTTGTTCAAACCAGGCACAGTAGCACATACAATATCAGCACGTGGCAAACTAAATGAAGCAAGAAGATTATGAGTTCAAGGCCAGCCTCCGTTGTGTGGTAAGACTGTGCTATGGTTGGAATTTCTTTCCAGCCTGGTCCCACAGCCAATTAGCCCTAAATAAGCACACAGGGACATATTAATTATTAAACTGATGACCAATGGCTCAGGCTTCTTACTGGCTAACTCTCTCTTAATTATTAACCCACTTCTATTAATCTATGTATTTTCATGTGGTCTTGGCTTACTGGAGAATGCCCAGACCTGTTACTCCTTTGGCAGCTACATGGTGTCTCCACCTGGTGGCCTCTCTCTGCTTCCCCTCCCCAGAATTCTCATCTTATAGCCCCCCCTATACTTCCTGCCTGGCTAGTGGCCAGTCAGTGTTTCATTCATCATTCAATAAGAGAAGCATATACAGAAGGATATTTTCCATCACTATGCCTCAAAAACCTACAAGTTTAGAGGGACATTTAACATTTAAAAGAAAACCCAGGAACATCCTTCAGAACCTGAGTTTCCTTTAGGAAACTGGGCTGAAACTTATTAAAGTTTATACAAAAATTTCCCCACAAAATGCCAGTGTTGGATCTCAGTTCCCAGTTTGTAATGACTGAGGCAAGTAGACAGGGAGAATGGAGATGTAAGAACCCTCTGAAGCCATCTTCCCAGGAATACCAATGCAACAGCTTCCACTGAAGCAAATGGCATAACGGGTTCTCAGTCATACCCTGGGAAACAGAAAGTCACAGTTTTTTTTAAAGGATGTCAATTTCAAGTGCTGTGATGGCTGAGTCAAAAGGGGGGGGGAAGCCAGCACTGGCCTTTTAGTGAGGGGTCAAGAGCCATGAGCTGCATAAGGTTAAAGTTCAACTGATGAGGAGGACTCTCTGCTGTTTGCAAAGCTAAAGGGTCAAAGTCCCTGGAACTATAATTAGCTATCCCTTCCCTGCCTGAATCTAACTAAACTGGACCATAATCCCACAACAATACTCAGTGTTGGTTACTCCTGCTATCTTAAGCCACACACAGCTCTCCGTTCTGTGGTTAGAGCAGACCATGTTAAGGGACATTTGCTCCTTTGTTGTCTTGAGACCCAGGACCCACTACCATCTCATTTAACGTGTCTGTGACATACAAAAGTGTGCTTCATCCTTCACTTGTTGTCTGTCATAACTGCAGCTTTCTGTCTGTCCGCCCTTCCATCTCCCCACTCTGACACCTACCTGGCTGCTAATTCTCAGAACCATCCGTCTCTCCGAGTCTCTCTCTGACAGTTGTCCTTGAGTCCCTTTTTGTTTCTGTTTTTAGACTTCTTTTATCAGTGAGACCAAGAATGTGCAAAGGATTCTGTGCCCTGATAACACGTCTTTTGGAGGTGACCAGATCCTGGGTAAACTGGGAACTGGAGTTCCCAGCAGAAGAAAAAAAAAAGTGCCACTCCTGTCACAGATTCTACAAGGACAAATGACTGAGCTGCTTGCTCATGGAGAGTTAAAATGTTGCAGACCAGATACAGATTATCTTAGACTATTTCAGTCCCTTTGAAAGCTACTCCTGTGTCTTATCTAACAGCCTGTGACTTTCAAAACTTTTGAAATGTAGTCTCAGCATGCTACCAGCTTCCACCAACCCAAAAGCTAAGAATGTTATCAGATGGCATTTGAGCTGGATACAGGACTTTCCCTCTATTTATTGTGCCCACCATCACCCCGCTCCATGGTCCTCACCAATGTGTTTGGTAAATGCCTGGATTTATGACTTCCCCTTTAAGTAATAAAATCTCTTACAATCGTTTCCATAGTGAAACATGTCTTTCCAGCACCCCAAGTCTGTGTTCCTAGGACACCATCATTCATGTTCGGCATGAGTAGTCTGCATTAATCCCTTAGTGGTGAGAGTGTGTTTTTGCATTCACAGGGCTCCGAACTAATCAGTGGGTGAATCCCTTGATGGCCTCAACACCCTGACATTATAGGGAGGCAGGGCCTAGCTGAAGGAAGTAGATCTCCAGGTAACTAAAAGGATACACCTTGTCTGATCCCTTTCCCTCCCCATGAGGTGAGCAGCTCTGCCCTGCTTTGCTCCTCCACCTCAACGTGTCACCCTGCCCAGGCCACAGTAAAGGGCCAAGTGACCACGGACTGCCACCTCTGAGGCTGAGCTGGAATAATCTTCCTCAGTTTTCCTAGGTATTCTGTCACCATGATGAAAAGCTGGTAATGTCTCTCTCTGATGTGACATGACACTCATTCTCATTGTGTGCAGCTGATACAACATTACTAACTAAAGTCTGGCTTATGGGGGAGGGTTCATCTTCATTTGTACATTCTGTGGGTCTGGACAAATGTGTAATAAAAGGCCACCTGTGTTAACTGGTTTCTCATCACTGTGACAAAGCACCTGGCACA